CCCCCCCCCCCCCCCCCCCCCCCCCCCCCGATATTTTTTGCTACGGTAACGACTCTCACCTGCGCCGTAAAAACATCCGTTCGGAACGGAGAGAAAAGCACTCACCTCCTTGGCGTAATTCTCCTTGTTGTCCTCCCGCCTTCTATGCCTGCACTGGCACTCCAACTGACCCAACTTCCTCTTCTTCTAACAGATAAAGAAAGAGAATCGACGTGATGAAATGCGATCCCTTTCTACCGATCCGTGCAGTTTCGAGTTGCCGGCGGATCCACGTTCCGCGTCTGATACTCTCCTCACGTTTTTACCGTACTGGGTGCGCAAAAAACACCTGGGACTCCTTTGAATCCGTGCCATGGCAATTTCCAACGAGCCATTTCATCGAAGCTTAAGAGGGAATCGATGGATCGGTCACCTTTGAAACGTTCACATTTCTGCCACAGGTAAATGGTTATTAGGTGTTTCTACATTGTTTCCCCGCCATTTTATTCTCAGCTTCCGCATATTATAAGATGGATGGTCGTATTCAGCGACAATTTCAATGAGAAAATCCAATATAAAGGAGCTGTGATACCTATTCATTAGCCATATCCTCCCCGAAAGGCCCTTTTCGGCTCTTTTATTTTTGTCGCACGTTCCCAGAAAACGATAAAAATCATAGTTGAAAAGAATTCACCCGTAAATGTAAACTTCGTGAGCGAACATATTTATTTGTGGATAATCCCCTTCCCCCAGAAGAATTCCCACGATCGACCTTTGAATCCACGAGTGGAACTGCAAAAAATAATCGCCAACGTGAATCCCCAGGGATCTCCATCGTCGACGCTCTCTTCCACCTGGATCAGTGGAAACCTTGAGAAGGGCTTTTTCACACTTCTAATTTCCATTATTTCATTATTTCAGTCGTGTTTCTTCACTAGGTGACGGATTGAATTGTATGCCATGAACACATTCGAGAGTATGTGAAAACCGAACATTTTCCGCCAGCAGTTTCCGTTTTTCCTGCAATTAGTCGTCAATATTTTTATATTTGCAGAATATTTGTCAGCGAATACAATTTCTCAGACCTCCAAAGAGGCAGAAAGCCCCAAAGAGGTTGTACGAAAGTGCTCTCGATTTTTCCGCACCCTGTTCGACACAAGACTTCCTCTCACGAAGGCATCAAGGTATCATGGTATCACAGTATCACGTACCCAGTGAAACCGCGGATCCTCGCCGGAATCTTCGTTGCCCTTGCCCTGCTGATTCTGGTGGTTGTTGCCGACCTGAGAGCCGACGTAGGCCAGGGTCCAGAGATGACCGTGCCGGGACTTGCAGCCTTTCTGGAACTGCGGGTTGATGGACAGGTTGTGCCGGACGGAGTTCTTCCAGCGACTGTCCTTCGTCTTGAAGAACGGGAACCTCTCGCTGCGACCAAGAATCAAATCCATGAGTAAATCCGTGAGCAAATCCACGAACAAACCCGTGAGCAAACCCGTGAGTAAATCTGCGAACAGATCGGTGTGCATACCGCGACGTGTTTGCTCGTGTGGGTTCATCGTCAACATGCGTGACTCTTGCTCGAGCCGAGATTGACGGGAAGGGTATGGTGCTTGGACGTGACCCCTGTTTCCCCTGTTTCCCCTGTTTGCTCATGTGTCTCAACTGACGATCGCACCTCCCCCAATCGCATTCATCGCCCGTCGCAATCTGTCATCTCGTGAGCCGAGATCGTGTTTGATTTGTACTTGCCACGACGACGTATCGTGAGCCGAGTTCGAGCGAAATGACACACCCCATCGACGCCCCCGATCCGTGCATGGCATTCGGCTCGTCCCATCTGCATGGCATTTGGCTCGTTCCAACTGCACGGCCTGCCTGTCACGCGGGCGTCCAAGTCCCCGGACCATCCGTGCAATTGCAATGAGCCAAAATATTCTACGTTGTTCATCCAAAAACTTAATAGAGATGGCGCTAGTGTATATACATCAGCGGCATATTCTCAGCCGCATACTAGCGCCATCTCTATTGCAATTTTTGATGGCCAGTCGCATTTTGTGAATTGTCGGTTATTGGAGTTTGCAACGCTAAAAAATAAAGGTTAGGATCGGGAACCACTTTTGGTTCTACGGTGAAACTTTTCTCGAAAGATTTCCGTGGAACCAAACGAACACGGACTGAAACTGATTCCTGGAGCCACCAGGATTTCAGAACTTTGACAAAGCGGATGATCAATGCCATCATCTCGACAATTCACAGATCGCTCCTCCGAGTGATTAAGCAAAAATCGTGGGAAATGGTTCTAGGTAGTAAAAAAACATTGACTCGTATAGAGTCCCTGCCTTTTTTTTTTACCAGTTTGCGAAGCGAAACGAGGACACAACGGAGGGAAAGAGCACCAAAAAGTAAAAAAAAAAGGGGACAGTCATCGTCCCCGGAAATTGCCGGGATGCGCCCGCACCCCTGGAAATTAGGATAAGAATTCGTCACGCACAAAGGGAATAATGAAAAGAAAAAACCGCGGGTGATGGCTTCCTGACGGCGGCAGGATGTTTGCACAGATCCTCGCGTCCAGGTGACATCCATTGACCGGACGGCACGCGCCCTTTATTGGGCCAAGATGCGTCAGCGGTTCCCCGGGCCCTCCCGGCCATTGTGTTCTCTGCTTCCCCCTCCTTTTTTTATCGCTTTACGCTTTAACACCTTACTCGTAAATTAATCTCTTTTATACACACGGGGAGGATCGGCCTCATCGATCCGTTCGATGAACGGTCCCGTTTCCCACGTTTTCGAGAATTTCGGGTGCGCCGCACGGAAATTGAAAATATACGGAATATCACCGGACGGTTATTATCCCGGTTCTGGTCACTGCAAGCGGTCGTAAACATGCAAAGTTCTCGTTGCAAATAATGAGTTTTTCCTGGCATTGTTCGGGTGCAATGATTATCCGCGGGCAATGGACGGGAAATTGGGGGGAAAACAAGGCGCATTGTATATGCATATTATGTCGATAGAGTTATGACAAGTATTGCATTATAAGAGGGGGTTTGCCCCCCTTTCCCCCCTTTCCCCCCCGCTTCAGACGTGGGAACAGAGGGGCAACGCCTGTGGATTTTCCCTGGACTCCGCCTCTTTTCACGGTCCTTCCCGTGATTTTCTCGTCCACTTTCCAGGCCGTTCATTATGCATGGATTGCGGGCTGTAAAGGCTTCCAGGATTCCCGAGGGAAGGCGAGCATTTGCTCGAGCATCCTTCAAACTTCTCTGCATGGGCTATTTTCGGCCTACTTCATGCGGACTGAGTGGATGCAACACGATGGCAACAACATCCCACTTGTGGAGTTTTGCAAGTGCCATGAGGCTCACCTGGTCGCACAGCCATGAGGATGCCCACAACCACGCCGAATCGTGAAGCAAATGAGATCGTGTGCCTCAAGATGCTACGTTGAAAGGAGGAATGCGCACAACCAGGCGAATAAATGTATCCTATGTTGCGACACTAACACCTTGTCTAATGTGTTTTCGAAGAGTGGAGCGCCACGAGGAACTTTTACAGGTAGCATGCTTCAGGAGTTAACAAGGTCTCTCAGCTGGATTCGTCCATGAATTTCAGCAGCACTATGAGTGATCCCAATAATCAATTCGAATCGAATAATTGTGCTCGTGAGATCTACTTCCCGCCACTCCCCCTTTCTTCCCCCCCCCCCCCTCTTCCCCTCTTCCCCCAGGATTGCATTTGCATCACGCGAAAGCGAACGGAAGAGCGAAACCTTGTTGGATTTCGTTATCCGGATTCAGTACTTCATTACAGGAAGAGAAAGAGAGAGAGAGAGAGATGAGAGGGGGTGTTATCAAAGTTCGGGGATCAAATGGGGGAAGTCGCGTGGACAACGGTTGTCGGTCGCATATACATACGGGGAGATAATGGCATGGACGAAGGGGAGGGGACCCGGTGGGACCCCTCGCTCTGCCCTGGCCGGACCCTAGTGGGAACCCCAGCGCAGCCCCAGAGGCACGTGCACGAGATCCAATCTCACCTTTGCGAGCCTTCATGCACGTGACCCCTTGACTTCCGCCCCTAAACCCACTTCCTGTTCGCATATACACCACGCCACGCCTGCTGCATGCTTCGCGTCTTCCCTTCCCATCCTACTTCGGTTAATAACCCCATTGTTGTGTTGAAAACTGGAATTCTGGCTTTGTTTTGCCACGATCGGGGCACATTTCTTCGAGAAATGTTGCACAGTGGCTTTTCGTAGTGCTTTATGTTATTGCAAATTAGAAGCCGATTTCATAAAGCAATATTTAGACGTGATGGCGCTACGATGAGTGCGACTGTTCTCCTGGATGCATTTGGTGACTTTGAAGTTAATGTAGTCGTCACCGAATGTGAAGTAATTAGAAAGTTTTTCTATCTAAGACTCATAATTCCCTCTGCAACCCTTAGCATCGAATTCTAATCCTTCTCTGCTTGTTGAAAGGGCTTGCGACCTCACGAACCCTCTCTTCGAGGGCCTCACGCAAATATCAAATAGGCGAGCGATCTTTAACTCGCATCCACTCTCGTCCCACGTTCCCCTTTAGTCCCTCAAGAAGGGATGCACGATCCAGAGGCCTTCCCGCCTTGAAAGGTGCGAAGGAGAGAGCGGGATTTGTTTGGGAACGCGTTGCCATGACGACGACGGACCCGCGAGATAAGAGGAGAAAGCATCTGCACGCACCAGCCCTCTTTTTCTCCTCTTCCCATTTTCCCTCCTTCCATGCGAATGCTAATGTCCTCCACGGCAACATCGATCCTCGATGTCCTCCTCCTCCTCTTCCTCCCTCCTTCTCCCCCCCCCCCCCCCCTCCACCTCCACCTCCTCCTCCTCCTCGCGTCCTTGCACTTGCGATTAATTTAATCTCGGTCGGTTCGAGTCTCCGTCGTGAAGGGGGAAGGCCGTCAGCCATCGTTCTGGCTTTTGGAGTTTTTTTCTTGCGATGGCGTTTCGTTTCTCGAGTCACGAGATGCCCGTACTCTACGATGATGAGCTACTAAATAAGTGCTACTAAATGGGAGTCACTGGTCGTCCTTGGACATCCATGTCGTGCTTCACTCATCTCAAGACCCTAACGACCTGGATGTTATCACACAGGGATTTGAGTCGTGACCATGTTTGAACGATCTGTGCTCGTAGAAGGACACCCTCTTCTTGCTAAAAGGATGATCAGAACAAAGAAAACCAACGGTACGACAAACAGAACAAAGAAAAACAGCAAAAAGCTCTTTTCCGAGAACTCCACTCGTGAAAAAAAGATTAGGCAATATCGCCTGACTATCGTATGTAGCCCGCCGTTAGGACGAATGCATTACGACGGGCAGAAGCAACCCCTTTATGTTCAAATGACGTGATGCTGCTGGTCTGGATCGGGGACTTTAATTGCACGACGGCGCAGATTTCGCTGATGAAGACCCCTGCACCCTGCACACACCGTGCTGCACCTGTAATTCCCTTTGTGATCCCTCCCCGCCCTACGGCCTCAAATATTCATGGCCATTTACCCACCGTAAATGCCCGGTTTCATCGCCTCGGAACCAGATTCCCCGAACCCATAACGAGGCTTTAATGTCCCTTTACCCGACGTGCCCCCGCCCAGCAGGTGATCTCTCGACTGCGTCTCGTCATGAACCGACATAAACATGGTCCGTAAACACTAAACACGACCCGTAAAGATCCCCGAACAGGGGACATCTCTCCTGGGAAGGCGCGTGTGCCTGTTTGCGCGCCTGTTTGCGCCGTGCGCGGCCCCGGAGATGGAGATGAATGAGGTGCTTCTCTACTCTCCGGGGATCCCCATTAACACTTGATTGATGAGGCATGGTTCTCGTTGCGATCCACTTCAGATCCCTCTGCCCGTTGGCATGTTTTCTGTCTAGTGTCAGCAATCACGAGATAATGATGAAGTCCCGGATTATTATCTGTAATGACGCGAGCAGAAATGCAAAGAGAATTGCTTAAAGCACCTACAAAAGAGTTTTAAATTAAAATAGTACCAGTACCACTCGAACATGAACTCGATCTAAAGTTTCCAAACGTCCAAGGATTTTGCGAATGCTGAACCCGACTTCGATCCCGCATCGGACACCCTGCAAACCCGAAGATCGGGACGGAAGGGGCCGGGAACCCCAAAAGGCAGAAACGTTTCAATCGGATCCCCCTGGACGGAATGGCACCTCACGCGAAACGGGAATTTGCGAGGGGCTTGCATGCCACCGTGTATTGCCGGTATCGTGATGGACGCGGTCCCCGTGGGCACAGGCCCCCATAGAAATCCAGGGGACTATTAAACGCCGATTACATCGGCTCCCCGGTCGCATTGGCATGGTCCGCCGCACGACATTTCTCTATAACGCGCCCCAATCACTGCCGCCCGGAATGAATCCACCTGCGTCTTTTTTCTCCTTTTGTCGATGAACGCGATCGTCTCGTGGGTGACCGGGCAGGATCACGGGTGACCGGGGCGGCTAACGAGTGACCGGGCCGGAACAAGTTACGACCGGAAGCAGCTGGTTCCCGTCCGGCCTCGTGTCCTAATTATTATTTCCACGTGCAAATACTTTCGGACACGAGAGCAGGGGAACAGCATCGAAGTCCTTAAATGTTTTGTTTTTCTCTGGCGTAAGAGTCGAAAATATGACTTCCATTGCGGGACTCCGCGGAGATAATGCTTCGGTTGCACTGGGCAGTAATGTGTTACAGTCACACGTTACAAAAACCACCCATACAAAACGTTACCTCTTCGTTCGTCCGAATTTTACCGCTTTTTCCCTTAATCTTTACCTGAAGGGTCTTCTGACAGGTTGGGAGACGGGGGAAAACTTTTTTTTTTTTACCTGTTTCACCGTCCCAATTTTACCTGAGGGGAAAACTTTTTGCAAGGGCAAGAATGGGTAATAATAATCGTTCCAATTTCTGAGAGGGAACAAATCATGTCATTTCGCTCCCTTTTGCTGCAACGTTTGCAACAGTCGCCACAGGCCACGAGGCCGACCACCCTGGCCATGCCTCGACCCGTCCTCATGGCGACGAAGGCCCTTCCGAGTGCCGGGGGAAAAAGGCAGAGAAGCCGACTACGTCTGTCCCCCGCCCGAAGAGACTCTCGAGGTCGATTTCCTTCACTGTTGCAGAAACTTTCACGAAGCTTTTAGCCTCATGAACGTTTCTGTACCAGTAACCGCTGACGGACATTTCACGATCGAGTCTCCAATATTTTCTTTGCTCGGTAAGATTTTTCTATTCTTTCGGTTCGGATTCTCCCATGTCGTAGAGGATGAGGATGTGAAAGAAGCGAAAAAGGAACCGGAGCGAGATTTTTTTCGCTTTCCAGCGGTAAATATAAAGGTAACCAGTTCTTTGAAAAAGTAACACGCCCATCCTTAACTTTTGGACGATGACACTCCGCGAATCACGCAAACCGACGAAATTCCCTCGTGGATTGCATCGCCGATACGAGTTTATGGGGGGGAATCGCGGAAGCCTTCCGTGAGTTTTCCCCCGCCTTCCCCCCGACATCCCCAGGTCCCCCGCCTCCCTCGTGCATGGATTTTCAATATCATCTCGAAAGCCCGTCGAGAAGCAAGGAAATTAGGCGTCGTAGCAATTTCCGGACCTTCTCGCGCCGGGAAGGCAGAAAAGCCCCTGGACGCTGGAGGATCCGCACGCGAGAGATCACTTATCTCTCTAATTGGCCTCTGTGCCGTCTATGCGATGCATTCTCTCTCTCTTTCTCTCTTTACCCTTTCCGAGGGCAGCAATTATCGTTCGTTAATGTTTGATTGAGGATAAACTGGTCCGTTCGTCCCCCTCTGAATGTTTGATGGGCTTGTGATTCTCACCTGGCGATCGGGAGAGTGGATTCCGTCATGGACAGCTGCATCCAGATTCACTCGGTGGGAAAAAAGGCGCGGCCGATGGGCGTGTGATCGTCGTGTCATGCGCGTGTGATCGTCAGGCCGTTCGCATGTGATCGGAACCAAGAAGTCCACTCTACGCATGTCCATTTTTCTATTTTATTCTATTTCTTTGAGGTATGAGGCGGATCGTTCCGAATGGGACTCGTCGTGGAGATACAGTAAAACCTGTCTGAATCCTGTGCAAAACGGAAATTCGCGGGGCCACTGAGTTATTTCAAATTAGATGTGCTTTTCTCTCGTCCGGATTCTATTCTAGAATTTTCTATTTTACATTCTGGATCGAAATGAGTGGAGCTATCTGAGAACAGAAATCGAAACTAGTCACGTTCAATAAACTTTTTGATTTAACCGCAATTTTTTTTTTCCAGCAGGCTTTATCGGATGTCAAAGGGACTTGGGGCAACGTATATTTCACATTTTTATATTTAAGTTTTATATTTAACGCTGTTTTTCGAGGGAACGAAAAGCATATCGATGTCGCAATGGAAATCGCTAGCGTGCGGGTCCCAAACGTTTTTAGTATCTACCCCAATAATCTTACGGCATATCATCGAAATCTCGGGGGGCGAAGGGAAGGGGCGAAGGGAAGGGGGGAAGGGGAAGGGGGGGTGTTCGGTCTGCTCATCTCACGAAGTGAAAATAAGGGTCTTGTCACCTCGAATCGGCCAATTTCCGGCGAAGTTGCCGCCCGATTGACTGACGAAAATAATTCCTGCTTATACGCACTTATGAAATAACGTTGCATTTCCTCTTATACATAAAAGAAGCAAAGTTCGGGAGAAAAGCATCTGTTCTTCGACATTTGTAAAAACAAATGTCAGGGAAAAGAAGTTTTTGAACAGAAGGTTTGTCCTTTTTGTCTTTGTTAAGCTCTCATCATGAAAGTGTGACCGTTTTCCTGTTTCCCTTCTCCAAGTGTCTTCGACGTGTGAAAAATCTGCCATTTTTGTGACCTTTGACCCTTGTTTCCTCCTGTTTTGATACCTGCATGGCCGTTTCGAGTTCTTTTCAACGGCACAACTTCCATCCTGATTTCGTTCTTTCGGAAGAAAAAGGGAATTAATCGAATTAACGAGTGAACTTGCTTCGAAAAAGAAATGAACTTGAGAAAAAAAAAACTTACGTTGCATTCTATTGGATAACCTTGGAAAGGTTAACAGAAGATTGCAAGAAGAACTCAAGTAAACGAGAAGCAGCATTTTCCAACGATCGTGAAGCTGTTCTATCCTTTTCTTTCCTATACAATCACGCGGAAACGCGTTGGACTTTCCCCGATTTTCGGATCGCACCGTCAGATCAACGATTCTTGGATGCATTTAGGAGACATTTTAAGGGACATTTGCTTGGACATTTTCGGGGAAGAAGCGAACTCACATGATCCACTTGTAGATGGCGGAGACGGTCATCTCCCCGTTCTCCTTCAGAGCCTGGGCGATGAGCTCCGTGTACGTGTACGGGGGCTTCTGGCTCGGGTTCATGGGGGTGACGGGGCTTACCATCCCCCCCTGGTCGTGGGGTGCGGGAGGGCTGGGGGGAGGGGACGGCGGAGCCTCGCCCGGGGGACCCGCTCCATCGCCCTCCAGGGGCAGCCCGCAGTCTTTGCAGATCGGACCTGTTTCCACGAAACCCATAAAATGAAAGTGAAATCCTTCTCTCAGGAAATTTTTAATTTGAAAACAGCATTTGCCAGCGTATATTCTGAATCTATCGAGGAATCCACATTGGAACTCGGGACCTCGATAGCATATAACGTGGAGTGAAGGCAGATGACATGAAGCCTGTTCGCACTTGCAATGAAACCGAACCGAACCAAGGTCGAACAGTTTCTTTATTCTCACGCCAACGGGAAAAAAAGCGTTTCCTCTGGTTCAATTTGGATTTTTCCAAATGCAAACATACCCATTGTTTCATGGCTTTTGAATTGTGTATTACAACTGTGTCTATCGCTGAAGACTGATTCCATAAAACAAATGGAGGTAAACAAATGTACGCCGTGCCTGAGGTGAAGGGGGCAGGTGTTAAACGGTCGCACTCTGTAAGAAACATATATCTCAATTCAGAGGGAAATTTTTCCCATTGGATAGTGGCCTGGACAAGACAAAGAAAAGTCTCACAGAACACTGTATTTTCAATTGTCGACCGATTTATAAAAGCATATATGAGCAGACTTTTGGCAAATGAAAACTTAAGTTGTAATATACATGGGGGGGAAGGGTAAATAGAATTCCTAAGTCCGCTTTGTCGATGAAAAAAAAAAGCGTTAATCGAGGTTCCTGCCCCGGATCCCAAGTCGGAGTCCGGATAACTTCCAAAATTAGCAACAATTCCTAGATCAATGGAAACTCTTTTCCCCTCACAGAACTCCACATTGTCTTGCATTACGTACTGATACTGGCACGGACAACATAAATGTCTCCAGCCTATGATCTGCAGTTGACTCCATTAACCCGATCCAAAGCTGGTTTTTCTCGATCTTTCGTAACGACATCGCAACGTGAAAGAATCGTGGACTGCTTAGAGGTGGAAACAATGGCGTTTACCGCACATGCGGTAACGGCAAGGTAGAGGTAAGTCAAGCGCGTGACAGAACAACAAGGAATGTCGGAAAGTCGTCGAGGAAGCCGAAAGGTTGGAACAGGGGTCTGCGAACAAGGGACCTGCCATTCATCAATCTGCCGGATGAATTCTATGGCGATGACGATACATAGGTGCTCCCTTCGAATGGCAAAGAAAGCTGAAAGACCATTATTCAACTATCCCTCAAATGAAGCTTTCAGGGTGGGGGATATTCTTTTTTTTATAGTGATGCGGCAATCAGAACTCGCGGAACCCGTGAAGGAGCTTCCCTCATCGTGACATTCCTCGCCACATCTGGACACTTTCGAAAAGGCACGAACTCATCCATGCGTTCTGCTCTGCCAAAAATCGTAACCCGATCTATAAACTGATATTTTTTTTTACACGTAAGGTGATTAAAAAAGAATTACTTGGAATCATTCTCTCCTCGGGAACCGAACAGTTCATCATCGGCCAATTTTCATAATCAAAAAGAAGGAAAGCTCAAAGTTTTCCTTGATCCAGACTTTTGAATCCAGGGACACGAAGCAAGAATTTTCCCATCCAATCGGAATCAAACTAATATTAAAATATATATAAATATATATCCAGCAAATTCATGACTCTAGTGTAGAAGTGAAAGGAAAAACTCCCATAAAATGCACCGAATATTTCCAATTCCTATTCTCGTATTCCTCATTCACACTTCACGTACCATTTCGTCTCAGATTTTTTGGACTCGGGAAAACCAGCAGCCTGTCGAGCGTATCGCCCGGAAAGCGAACGCTCCCGGCGGGCCGCCCCGCCACAAGGGGCAACATCCAGACAACGCGACTCGCGGGAGGCAGCATTCAAAATAACACGACTTACCGGGATTCCTGTTCATCCTGGTGGGGTCCAAGGGATAGTTGTTGTTGGTGGTGTTGTTGTTGGTCTGGTCGTCTTCGGGGAAGAGGGGATCCAGCCGAAAGTTCATGAGCCAGCTGAGATTCGGCGGTTCCCCGGTCTCGACCAGGTCGAAGAACTCCCCCGCCGACGAGGAGTTATTGCCGTCGGCCTGGAAGTGGCTTCCGCCAGTCTCCTGCATGTAGCCATTCATCGCAGGGTCGAAGAGGTCGGACGACGGGGGATTCCCGTTGCTGGCCTTGTTCATCTCCCGTTTGATGCTCTCGACGGCGAGGAGCGTCATCCGCTCCAGTTCCCGGTCCCCGTCCTCGTTTGACGCCGAGGAGCCGTTGCCGTTGGGACCCTCGTAGGGTCGTTTTCCTCGCCGGCTCTTCACAGCCCGGTTCGAACTCGTGGGCATCTTCGTCCTGGACAGGGATGGGGGGGGGGGGGGGGGGGGGTTCCATATTCTTCTTTTTTGGGGGGGGGGGGGGGGGGGGGGGGGGGGGGGGTCAGCGTTCAATATTCTACTTTTTAAAATTATTTTTTGAAATAGAAATATTTTTTTATTGCATGAAGAAGCTGATCAAATGTGTTTCCCCCCCCCCCCCCCCGGAATAACAATAAATTAAATGTCTGGTAAGGAGCAAGATTATATTCAACAGGTGGCCGTTCCTTCAATTTGCACCGAAAAGCATTTCTTCCGCGTTCAGTTTTTAATTCTCCTTGATATGAATTCGTTGACGGTGAGATCATGTTTCATGAAGTTTGCTCGAATGTGGAAGGAAAATTATTCAATCCGCAGATGTAAACTATGTCCTGTTGTGATTTTCGCAGATGGTACATGCAAAGGAATACATGTCTGAGTTTCAAATTCAAAAACTTAATCCTCAAATTTCCTATAAACAATATCATTGCGACCTTATCATATGGTATCTCTAGTGTTACTAGGAGTTGGAATGGAATACACGTTATAAATGGCTGATCTAATACAGGTAAAGGTTGAGGAAGGAAGGAATTTCGAATGTGCGTCAAAATCTCAACGATTGTGATCAGACTTTCTTCGAAAATTCGCGAAATGCATCCTGATATTTACTTTGCTAGGTATAAGAGAGCATATCCAAATGGTATAGGCTCACCTGGGTACCGGCATGTAGGCATGCATTCATGCATGCATGCACACAGCAGTCAGCTCAGTCACACCTGCAGGACCCGCACTGACGGCGGAATATGATGAAAAGGTCCCTTCCTTCCCCTCGGGGTATGATACGAGAGGATTCCCCTTCCCCCCTTTCTTCCGGCCTCGCAGTTCCCAGGTGAGAGGCAGAGGACTCGCTTCCCATTGGCCCAGGGACGTGCCCTGCGCGCTCTTTCCCTCGTGCGCCATTGGTCGGAGGGAGAAGAAGCTCCGCCCGCAATTGCGTGCCTTGAAGGTGGGAGATAATTTTCTCTATTGAATAATTGATCCAGGCTTCCTATCTTGGAGGGAGGGGATTTCCTTCCTTCCTTCCTCTTTCCATCCCAAAGGTCGATTGTCTTCTTTTTTCTGCATGATCGCCCTTTCATGCATTCTATAACGGAAATGTGAATGCCGAGATCTGCCAATTGAATCGTCTTTTTTATTAGCACGTTTGAAAAGAGCGTGCTGTGGCTTGCGTTCTAAGGCCGCGGCGAACTCTCTACATACTGACATTTTCGTCCACAAAAGGCATAATAGAGTATTTTCGCTAGCAGGCAAGCCTTGCTTGAAGAATGAGTGATTCAGAAGGGTAACTTAAATCCTGACCCACCGCGTTCCTTCCATTTGTCAACAAATCTCTTAATGTGCAGAAACTTTTCCAACTCGCTTTCAACTCGTTCATGAGTATTCTCCGTACTACGGTATTGCTTATGAGGACTTCAAAGCAAGGGCTGCGAAACGGAAGCATACCGGAACGGAAGGAAAACTGGAACAAACGAAAAAAGAGGAAAAAATCTATCGGAAATGAAACCGATATGAAACAAAAAGTTCAATTTCATTCCGTTCCGTTCCGCTCCAACCTAGTTAGCGAAATCGACCCGTCTCGGTTGTACGGTTACACACCCCAATAACCAGGGTCATCTGACATCCAGCAAAGCAAATGGCCAATGACTATAGAGACGTGAAAGGGTAATGCTCGCCCAAAAGGGCGTGGAGAATCCTGGCCTCGGTCTCATCCGCAACGCTGTACGAGGATGGCAAAAGCCAACGCCTCATGCCTCCGCCACTAGCTTTATTTTCGTTCATTTTTTTCTCACGTTATCATTAATAATTAGTTAGATTTAAAAACAAAACAATTGAAAAGCGAAAATGGAGATTTGAGGGCCTCTGTCATTCTTTAGAATGGAATGAACGTTTTCTACCTTCTACCTCAATCGAAACCCAATCGTAGCCCAAATCCGTCGGAACCGAACGAAATAGAACCGCTTCGAACGTAGCAGAACGGTTCAGGGCATCCCATCCCACCTGGAAAAGAAGAAACACCGAATGAGTGCGCCCGAGACAGAACCGAAAAGATGCTTCAATCATGCAATGTCCTGTTGAAAATAATGGGAGAGGGAAAAAACCACTTCCTCGAGATCGCAAGGGACGGAAGAAAATTTTTCCTTTTTTGAGGCATCCTGCTTTGGAGCGGACAGCTTACTAAGCCGCAAAAGTGAAATCGAAAGCGAGGAATGAATACAATTTTTCTCGGGTCTGGCATGCAAAGATGGCGATAGACCTTTGGACGACCATCGATCCAACGGCAAGAACGGAAATGGATGTGTTTCTCTCGATCCTCGATCTACTTTGCCTCTTTGGCCTCTGATGTTCATTTCTTGTTGGGAATCCAGGGTTGGGTAGGAAAGATGCTAGTCCAGCATTTTTCAAATATAAGTTCTCAAGCGTCAACATCAAAAGCAAGTTCAAGTGCAAGCGCCACCATCACCTCCCAAGGCAAGTCAAGAAAGTGGTTCGTTTCCCACGCATAATCCTGAAGGAAAGGTTCACGATTTGATGTGGTCGCGACGCGTCCAGCAGCGAATAATACTCAACCTTCTCTATCGCTGGTCCGAAAGAATTTTCTGGGTGACTCCATCTTAGCCTTCCAGCTTCCGTTGTCAAAAGGGGGAGGATGTTCCATTTTTTCATTATTTACCGCTCAATCTCGCTATTTCCAAGTCTGTCATATTGAATGAGAGCCATTCATGCTCGTATTTCCTCACTTTTCAATCTTAAACCAGCTGTCACGTGAATCGTTGTGCCTAAACCAGTGTAGTCTGACTTATGAGTCCTGTCAAGATCTTCTAGACGAGGAAAATCATGGCTGGGGGGTGAATCTTCCATTATTCCATTCAAGGCGTTAAGTCCAATTGAACCATTCGAATTTTTATTCAGTGAAGAACATATTTAAATACGGAGACCTGGCCAAATTGTTTGTCTTGAAAGGTAGTTTCTGTCCGCTTGAATTTTATCCTCAGAGACAGCTCAACTGAGGATTTCAAGCTACAGGACGTCATATTGCCGTGTATTTGAGTCATCGTCATAGGCTCAGAATGACAGCAACAAACGACGAATGCGGGTGCCCTGCCCGAGGAGGGCGAAAGGGGCAAAAAGGGGGAGGAAGCACCCTTCCTGCCCGGATCCGAACTGTTTGCCATCGTTTTACGTATATTGAGCGTGATGGGTGAAGGGATTCCCACATAATAGCCCATCGGGACCTTCCGCAGTCGATGGCGTAGGGATGATGGGATGAATCTCAAACTTGCCTGCATGAAATCTTAAAAGGATGCTTAAAAAAAAAGCTGATTATCATATGATGGTCTGCAATTTTATCTTCACTTCATCCGTGACAATAGGACCACCGAACTAGCAGTGAGACCGATGATCGACGAAGCCTAGGTCATTCAAATGCGGAGCACCCCCCAAACCTCGACATAAAGCGCGAACGAGAAAAGCGTCTCGCCTGTCCTGTCCCGCCTCGGCTTCTCGTCGCAAGCAATTCGCCCATCGTGCGCTTCTCTAGTAGAGTGACAACGTGAGCGACCGATGTCATCATCGCACGAAGTTTCCTAGAGGAGGTTTCGAAGCAACCCTTTTTCATAGCACTTTCAGTCACGATTTTTCTGCATGTTTTTCTTAGTAGTTTTTGCATTAAAATATGCATAATATCATCCAATATCCAAGTCAACTCTAATATATTTTCCATGACAATATTAGTTGCAATTAGACAAGGCAGCTGTTGCCATGGTTACCGTTGAGTGTTCAATGTCAGAATGATCCCCTGCTTCTGGACAAGTACCTCATGAATTTATGGGCGAAACCATGCGTAAAATAAATTATATGCTCTTTTCAGACTCCATGCCCAATCGGGCAACGAGCAGAGGGAATACAAAGGAATAAATTTCTCGAGCCGTTCCCGACCGATCGATGCGACGCGGGGGGGACGCACCATCTTTCCCGGAAGTTTTTGGCATCTTCGACTTGCTGTTTCGGACGTTTTGAAAAGGATGAGTGCAGAGAGATGACTCTGTTCTATTCAATTCTGTGGGTTCTAAGGGGACTGGCTGTCTTTAATATTGGGGAGAGATGAATCAGTGCTCAGTAGTCGATAATATTCGTGTTAGGAGGAAAAAACTCGATGGACCATTTCAGAGATTCTAGGGATATGAAAGAATACGAGGGAGAAAAGAAAAGAAAAAAGGTTAATGGATGACTAGAATAGAAGATTGGGGTTAATCGGATACTAGAGGGAGACTTCGATGTAGTTATACGCAGGCGATTTCGGTTTATGTTCTTCGAAATTCAATATTTGAAAGTTCCATTGGCGATAAGCGAACGTAAAAATAAAAGCTATCAAATTATTCTTGAACAATTCCACCGAGGCTGCGTGCTTCGAAGACGGTTTGCAAGGTTCAGGGACAAGGGGGTGGGACGTATCGCCTCAATTAAAATTCGGCATTACATTAAAAAAAAAATGTTTTGGGCGATTCCCATGCATGGGCGGGCATTGGTAGCATTCTCGTTTCCTAGACGAGAAATTGTAAGAATTCCCCTTTCCGTTATCTTCAGTGACCCTCTTTCATATGGTTTGCAATTCGATTTCTGGGCACTTCCCTTTGTCTTTCATCACGGAAAGTCAGTGCGGGCATTGCAGAGGGACATTCGCGTGCTGAAAAATTTTTAGACTAGCAAAATACTGATGTACATCAGACTTAGTGCGTTTCTCCTATTTCACCATTTGCAAGACAGGATCGTTGACTGAGATTCATAATTAGGGTAACGACACCAATGACAGAGCTCTTTTCGGTCGGATCATTACGGAAAGAAAGTAAGCAGTGAAATAACAAGAATTCCAGAACGAGTCAACATATGATTGCCGTTATGAAAAAAAAAACAAACAAAAGAAATCCAGATTGAATTGAGGGTTGAATTTAAAGCTTTTCCTGTGGTCCTGTCGGCTTCCCTCGACTTGAAAACGCGAATCCACTCCCCTTCCCCACGGAAGAATGCCCCATAACAGCCCGAGGGAGAAGCGTAAGCATTCGATTTTCAATCAACTCGAACGTAAAATGTGCTTTTATTATTTCGATTCCAAGGAAAACTTGCCCGTCGGCGAAGTGAAGATTCCACTGACGATCTCGAGATTTCCGTCCCCGTGTTCTGCATTAGAAGGCTGCAGAGCATGTTTCTTTCGAAACGTCGAAAACTAAATTGCCGTCGCGAAACTTTGCAGATCCGAAAATGATGCAATTCTCTTGGGCGAAAGCGGATCTGGATTTGTCCAGACTGGCACTCACCATTCACCGATTCTCCCGCCAACGTTCTTCGCTCGCAGAGATGCCAGAAAAGGATTAAGGATCCCGTCACGAATCCATCATAGGCGATGAAGAATCCGTCCCTAAAACTTCGTCCATTACGCATTAATACTTTTTTCTTTTTGAATCTCGGGGGGAAAACGATGAAAATTCTCTGACGAACGAGGGGATCCAACTTAGTGTCTCATATATTTATTGAATTTTTGCTGAGAAATCTTGATAGACTCTCACGGCAATAGCCGAAAAATTCATGAATATTTTCATATTTACACATGAAACATATACTTGTATTTCAAAACGTTTTAAATTTTCAAACGTCTCTTACGTTTCAGGCATTTCCCCAGGAATTAGGAAGGAACTGCATTTCGAATGAGATTAAATGAGATCAGTGGCGTACCCAGGAAATCCGAAAGGGAGGAGGGGGTTGCCATATGAAACATTGATTACCCACAATAAGGGTGTTAACATATGAAAAAACTGATAACTCACCAATATTTGTGGCCAAATAAAAAAAAATTTTGAGAATCGAACCTGTAAAATTGACCCCAGGGGTGGGGTTATGACCCCCAAAATCCCTTGGGGTCTCATCCAGTGGCTTTGGGGCACGCCACTGAATGAGATTAAAACTTGAGATTAATTTTTTTGCAATAAAGCCACACCAATTAACCCCTGAGCAGCAGCGAAAGCATACAAACTAATGCGACCTGTCCGGACATTGGAAGTAAGGCAGCAGTGTCCCCTCTCCCTTGAAGAGCTAGTGGGAACGCCGTTCCCGTTTGCTTCTTGCTTGTCTCTGCTCATCTTAACTGTGGGAAGAACGCGAACATTTGTGGGGGTGCGCGAGAGATACTGGCTACCCATGACGTCACAAGGCAATAAGTATGGTGCCATGAAGTTCGAGAGACTGCAAGGATACGGGAGAACTTGACGAGTTTCGAAATTTCAAGGAATTTTTTTCATTTCCCAGACCATTTCTTGTGAGGTTATTTTTCGCCCTATAGATCCTTAGTGTTTCAATCATGAACGAGCATTCACTTGGGACTTGTTCAGGCGTGATATACAACGAAGAAATCCCTTTAGTACTAAACGAAACCTGATTATGATCTTTAAGTGGTGAGGGAGATGTGCCATGATGAATAAGTATCTCTAGGCCGATCCCCACATGCGACTGGGCTTAATTTTTAACTTAGGCCTTCGGAGCCCATGGAAAGTAGCTGAGATTGACTCCAAGGAGATATGATGGACTGAAGTTGTGCTCTTTTTGTTTCTATTTGGGAAGTGTTAATGAATGAATGTATTACTTGAAATGTTAAGTCGCGTGGGTACGATGTTTTATTACCTCTGAAATGTTTTAATATCATATTAAGATAAGTCAATTCAACTGACAAGTCTGCCTGAATAATGTTAAGGAGTAACCCTGTAGTTAGGCCCAGCCGACATGGTTGTCATCACCTTGAAGTTGCACAGTAGTAATTACATTTCTGCCATTATAATAGCACACTAAATTAACTCCAATCTTGCTGTTACACAGGTGTTTTATATTTTTCATTCTGTCACTGAGATATAATGAAAACAAAATGCTAGCAAGCATCGTTCAGAGCTTTGTATGTCCCTCATGTCATGATGAGACACAGTTCTCAGAAGAACAAGAGATCTTAAAACATCTTTTATGTGATCACAAGCTAGTCATCGCTGAGAGGAAACTCATTGCCGATTTACCCAGGTGAGTTATTCACAAATACTTATTTTTATTGGAAACATTTGAATGGCATAGATGACATGAGAGGAATTTATTTCCCCCTAGGTATCTCAGCTACTGGAGGAAGCGTTTCCAGGATGCACCTTTGGAGACCTTCTGTCCTGTGATTCGCACTAACAGTGATTTGAGTCCAGAGATACAAGAAGACTACTACCTTCTCTGTGATGCTCTTCCTGAAGACAGGGAAATCCGTGTAACACTTCAAAAGGAGAAATTGGTACCCAAATGGCAGTGAGATTCCATGATGATGATTTATCTTGAATGAAGAATATTATAGACTTTATAAATCTTTTACAGAAATGGGTACTGGAGCAATATGAGAAGGAGAGAAATGATCCTGCATTCTCTCATTCATGTCTCTTCTGTAAACAAGTCTATGTTGGGGACAGAGCAGAGCTTTTGAATCATTTGGCCTTCGATCACCACTTCAGCATTGGGCATCCAGATAACATCGTCTTTCTGAAGGAATTCTTGAATCTCATTGAGCAGAAGCTGACCATGTGAGTTGTGTGAGCCTTGCAAAATGAATGACCCTACTAAATTCCATAGCATCATTGCAATGTAAAGTCCTATCATAGATGAAAGTTTACACAACTGCAAGATGCCAGCATATGTAATAATCCAATTGAAAATTGTATTATATGCTTATAAATTTTTAAGAGGGATTGAGAAAAAATTTCCATTTGATCCTATGAATGTGCAGATTTACACACAAACTTTGGTTTTGGACAGTTGAGATTTTAATTGTTTCTTTTTTTTCTGCTCTGCAGATCCAGAAAGTCTCTAGTTTTCAAGTATTGTTGTTTTTTGAATAGTAAATCCAGGAAGCCATACATGTTCTACTCTTTATAGGTCCTAATTACTCTTTTTAGGTTGAGGTGCTTATACTGCGAGAAAGACTTTCGAGACTGGAGTATCCTCAAGGAACACATGAGGAAGAAGCTGCATAAAAAGATTAATCCCAGAAACCAGGAATATGATAAATTCTACCTCATCAATTACCTGGAGTTTGGGAAATCATGGCAGGATGTCCAGGTTTGTATTCATTGTTCATTTTAAAACACATTATTGGGTAGGATATACAAGGATTCCTTATCAAGGCATGCATAACTCATCCATTGTAAATGTATTTGCTTACAGCCCTTTGGCTGTGGGTAGATGTCTGTCAAAGTGACTTTTTCTAGATGTAGTGGGTCAAAATATAATGCCACAAGTTGAGTGATGAAAGACTTGTGATGACATTTAAGTGACTGCCTTGTGCAAGAATTGCTCATTGTTTTCAGATGGCAGTATTTACTGGGTATATTCAAGGTTTTTTCTTTTCATTTGTCCATTCTTGGTTTAAAAGCCAAACTATCACGATCAGATGTTTGAAGTATGAATGCAATCAGTCTAAACATATGCAGTTTCATTTAAAACCTCTGATCATTTTCATTCTTTGAAGCTTAAAAAATGTAAGTGATGGCTACATAGTCCTTCCAGCTGTTGGTCTTTTATTTCAATGCAAACTAAGATTGGTTCTTATGTAATTGCAGAATTAGAGCCACTTATGAACAGTTTCACTCATTTCTGCCTGGCCAACTTAGCATCACTATGATACAGAAATCGCAAATACTCCTGAGTGCTGCTTACTTTGAGTTTAAACCCATATGCAATTGGCCTGGGAAGTCAAAATCCCTTTTTTCATGTTATTTTCAGTTCTCCTGCAAAACATGACTCAGTGTTTCTGGGTTACTTGCTTCAGTGAATTCAAAACAACTGGTGGAGATGGGAGTTGATTTGGTTAAGTGACCAGTTAGTTGGCCAAGGGTCTTAAATCAGAACAAAAATCAAAATTAATCAAATAATAATGAGCCCTGAGTGTCCCTGTAAGAAAGGGACTAGGGGAGTGGACCCAGTTAGCGAACACCCTAAGGAGAAATAATTGAACTCTAGGTCAGCAATCACACTGAAGAGCATTCTTGATGCGGATCCCGCTTTCCTTCCACTCCCAGGTGTCATCTGATAATATTCATGTNAGACTTTATAAATCTTTTACAGAAATGGGTACTGGAGCAATATGAGAAGGAGAGAAATGATCCTGCATTCTCTCATTCATGTCTCTTCTGTAAACAAGTCTATGTTGGGGACAGAGCAGAGCTTTTGAATCATTTGGCCTTCGATCACCACTTCAGCATTGGGCATCCAGATAACATCGTCTTTCTGAAGGAATTCTTGAATCTCATTGAGCAGAAGCTGACCATGTGAGTTGTGTGAGCCTTGCAAAATGAATGACCCTACTAAATTCCATAGCATCATTGCAATGTAAAGTCCTATCATAGATGAAAGTTTACACAACTGCAAGATGCCAGCATATGTAATAATCCAATTGAAAATTGTATTATATGCTTATAAATTTTTAAGAGGGATTGAGAAAAAATTTCCATTTGATCCTATGAATGTGCAGATTTACACACAAACTTTGGTTTTGGGCAGTTGAGATTTTAATTGTTTCTTTTTTTTCTGCTCTGCAGATCCAGAAAGTCTCTAGTTTTCAAGTATTGTTGTTTTTTGAATAGTAAATCCAGGAAGCCATACATGTTCTACTCTTTTATAGGTCCTAATTACTCTTTTTAGGTTGAGGTGCTTATACTGCGAGAAAGACTTTCGAGACTGGAGTATCCTCAAGGAACACATGAGGAAGAAGCTGCATAAAAAGATTAATCCCAGAAACCAGGAATATGATAAATTCTACCTCATCAATTACCTGGAGTTTGGGAAATCATGGCAGGATGTCCAGGTTTGTATTCATTGTTCATTTTAAAACACATTATTGGGTAGGATATACAAGGATTCCTTATCAAGGCATGCATAACTCATCCATTGTAAATGTATTTGCTTACAGCCCTTTGGCTGTGGGTAGATGTCTGTCAAAGTGACTTTTTCTAGATGTAGTGGGTCAAAATATAATGCCACAAGTTGAGTGATGAAAGACTTGTGATGACATTTAAGTGACTGCCTTGTGCAAGAATTGCTCATCGTTTTCAGATGGCAGTATTTACTGGGTATATTCAAGGTTTTTTCTTTTCATTTGTCCATTCTTGGTTTAAAAGCCAAACTATCACGATCAGATGTTTGAAGTATGAATGCAATCAGTCTAAACATATGCAGTTTCATTTAAAACCTCTGATCATTTTCATTCTTTGAAGCTTAAAAAATGTAAGTGATGGCTACATAGTCCTTCCAGCTGTTGGTCTTTTATTTCAATGCAAACTAAGATTGGTTCTTATGTAATTGCAGAATTAGAGCCACTTATGAACAGTTTCACTCATTTCTGCCTGGCCAACTTAGCATCACTATGATACAGAAATCGCAAATACTCCTGAGTGCTGCTTACTTTGAGTTTAAACCCATATGCAATTGGTCTGGGAAGTCAAAATCCCTTTTTTCATGTTATTTTCAGTTCTCCTGCAAAACATGACGCAGTGTTTCTGGGTTACTTGCTTCAGTGAATTCAAAACAACTGGTGGAGATGGGAGTTGATTTGGTTAAGTGACCAGCTAGTTGGCCAAGGGTCTTAAATTAGAACAAAAATCAAAATTAATCAAATAATAATGAGCCCTGAGTGTCCCTGTAAGAAAGGGACTATCTATTCAATTACATTGCACAGTGTTATAAAATATCAGAAAATGAGTGTCTTGTGATTGGAATCAAATGAGGTGATGATTTCAACAGAAATGCAGAAGGAAAGGAAATGTGGTTATTACTCCGGATTGAGGTATATGGCTGTGTGGGAAAGGCTTTATTAAAATATAAATAATAATGGCCTATGACTTCATATAATTTTACTAGCAGTGCTCTTTTTCACACAGGACTTCATAGAGTCCAGTAACTTCATGGAGTGAATTACATATTGAGTCATAGTGCAGTGATGTATTTTTGGTGACGTATTGGTGTATTTGGTTCCCCCCCCCCTGAAAGAGAGCTGGGCGCTACCTTGGAGGTAGTAATTTCTTCATGATATTGCTCAAGTGTGGTTTGATGCTCTTGCCCCCCCCCCCCCCCAACTCTTCAGCCAAAGTATGCCACTGGTCAGAGGCAATTCAAAGAGGGTGGTTCAAGTGAAACCCAGACTTTCTTGTACTGTGATTCAACAGGATGAGATAGATTTCAGCTATTTCTCAGAGTAACCACATTGTATATCTGTGCACGTGCTTCATAGCTTTGAGTGTCCAGATGACTGAAGCATTGAAAATTCTGAGCCTTCGAAGGACATGAACTGGCACCTAGTTATTCTTTCTGAAGCACTGTCCATTCATTTGCTACTTGAAGGATCTGAACCAACAATAATATATTGGAGCCTAGTTCAACAAGTTAAAGAAATAGCCTCCCTTCCCTTTCTAATTGTTTTTTTTTGGCTCTGTTCATACAATTTTGCACTCTAGTATCTGAAACATGATCAAATGTTTGGGTACCTGTGGAACCACTTCCTTGAATTTCAAGTATTCAATGAATTTTGTTTCAGCACTGCCTATAGTTATTGAAAGAGTATTTGCAATTTTCTGTCTTTTTATGTGACAAACTGCCATGTTCACATATGTGATATTTGGTCAGGTCAATACAGATGGCACACTGGGATATTTAGCATTGGCAGTGCACTGTTTCCCCTCATGACATTGTGAATACCACTCATTTACACTTCACTGTGATAGGATAGTGTCACCATATTTATCTGCAAGTCTACCATGAATTTCAGCTAGTTTCAATTCTTCCTTTGATAAATACATTAGGAAAATGTGCACCTAACTTGTTCAGCAAAGGGCAGATGTAATGCCATGACAACTTCTACTCCATGGGTGAGCCCTACGTTACCTTGAAATGTTTCTTTTGGACGCTAGTATATACATATACAGTATACTAGCAAGATTGTTTATTTCAGGTAAATAAGGTAAACAAGTACAAGGGACTTATATTTCATATTTCAGTGGTCAGCACAAGGTCTGCAAGTCTCAGTCCTCCAATAATTTCTTTAACCCCCCTTCACCGGTGAGTTTTGAGATTCAAATGGGTCAGGCCAAGAAAACATTAGGAATAGCAGTGAAAGGGTTTATTTTTCCTTTTGCTTACAGGACAGCTTTGCAAGTAAACCATATAAATTCATTTGGTTAGTCTAAAAATGGTCTGCTCCCTCACACCACATAAGCACCCAAGTAGCTGGATCATAATCTCGTAAAGGTAACTTCTGATGTAAAGTTAATAACTCATCACACTAGTAACCCATCAGTTTCCTATGGCATACTAGTACATGATTGGTAAAATTGACCAGTGTAAATATGATGTACAGTCAATGCTTGACATAAATACCCAAATGGAGTTTGAGTTTTTTTTAATCAAGTGTTGACTACTAGTATGTCATTAAATGTGAATGTGTTAACTGGCATGGTTCCACAGGGCATATACCATGAAGTCACTGATTTAGTAAATGCATACAATGACATCATAGGTAGGGAGAAATGGTGCCACACCAATCTGTAAATAATATTCTTTACAGGATGAGGAGGATGGTCCAGAGGCGAAAGGAAAGAGGGATGATGATTCAGATTGGTCTGATTGGGGAGAAGGGACAAAGAGCATCAACATTTTATGCTTATTCTGTGATATGCAGTTTGAGGATTCTGATACTATTATACTTCATATGAAACAAGAACACTCCTTTGACTTCACTTCAATACAAGGCAAGGAAATGGAGTTCTATGACAAGATTAAGATCATCAATTACATTCGTCGACAGGTGAGTGTCTGTTTACGTCCTATACCTTTTTCTGTTAGTTTCACAACTGCTCATTATTTAATGCTAAAAATACACCATCCCAGGTACATCAGCGATGCTGTATTATTTGTGAAGAACAATTTGAGTGCCATGAGAGTCTCTTGGAACATATGTCTACTGCTGAGCATTTTCAAGTTCCTCCATCATCTCAATGGAATCAGCCTCAGTATGTTCAGAGTCAACACTTCACAATTGATATGTGGCACTGAACACTGATAGACCAAAGGGCTCAAATTATCCTCTCTTTTGAAAAAGGTATTATTTTCCTACAAAGGAGGATGACAATCTTCTTTGCATCTTGGAGGATGATGAGAAAGAGCACATTGATGATGTGAGTTTCCATGAATCTCTTGAGAGCAGAGAGTATCTGTTGGTCAGTCATAAAGCTGTTTTTCCCCTCCCATCAGGTAATACCAGAAAATCTTGAGGTAAGTTGTTCTATCCTATCAGATGAACAACTCAGGAAAACACTACAATGAAATTCATCAAACTAAACACAAATTGACATGGAGACTACTGCATATTCATTATGCCAAAAAAATTTTTTGAAGAAAAAATGGTTTATAAAAATAAATGATGATAAAAACAAATGAGTTTTATTTATGGAAAGGCATTGTACTCACATTGGACACATAGCCACACATTCATGTGTATTAAACATGAGAAACCCTCAATAATTGATGATAGGATTTAGAGGTTCAGCTCTGATGTTATGAAGGTCCAACCTGGAATCCAACTCTTCATCTAATTCACCAATCACTGCCCTGCAATTCATAAGACAAGCATCACAATCAAATATCATGTGAAATAGATAGTATCTTTATGTACCTTAAGGATTTAGGTCAATATCCTTACACATTATCACCACGAATGATGTAAAGCCCAAGGACAACCTGTTCAACCCCCTGAGATGAACTATATACTCTTTCATGGCTATCATCGAGAATCAGGTTGATGGTTTGATCAAATCCCTTCAAGGTTCCCTGAAAGACCAAGCAATTTCATTTTATGAAATATTCAATGTATAATACAGTATTGCTAATTCCTACCTTATTTTAAAACTAGGCCAGCTAGAACAGTATTTAAGCTATAGCTCCTAACCTTATGTATTGGTGCACAAAAGGTAAAATAAAGGTTTTTCATGAAGATGGGAATGGTCAGGCAGAAGAATGCATGGAAGAAAGGACCAAAGGGTACATGACAAGGGAAGACAATAATAATGCAAAGGCACAGAACATTGTGTTGGAAGAATTTCATATCAGTTGACCTCACTAATGGGTGGGTACATGAAATGCCAGATGGGGGGGGGGGAGTTCAACCACCTTGTCCACTCTCCTCAGGTTCTTGGCTTCATACTCAGAAGCTGAGGAAATATTCAATGGATCATTAAAACTGTTAACCAAGTCATAAATTTTCTTTTATACAGGGTGGCCCATAAGTTCCAACTGCTTATGATAAAAATTTGGAAAAAAATCTGCCTAAGCATTGAGACGAATGGTTCCAATGCGCATGCGCTTTCTGTCCTTAAGAAACCAGTAAGTCATTTGTCGGTCATTTGTAAAGGAGCAAGGGAGCAAGATGTGAAAATGTGGAATTGAGAGCAGCCATCCACAACACGTTTACAAAGATTACCCCTGAAACATTGAGCAAACGTTGCATAGAACTTCATGTTACTCATACTGCTGTGGTCCATAAAGAGGGAAAGTATTCATTGAGATGGTTATATTTTGTACTTTGAATAATCGATAAATATTTCTTAACTTGTTACAAAATTTTTACTTTGTTTTTTTTTTTTTTTTTTTTTCTCTGTAATTATAATGATTGATTGGGACTTATGGGCCACCCTTTAAATCACAATTTCTTACATAAATAAAGTATGAATACATTGTATTGTGGTTAAGGGAAGTCTGTTCCACTGGACATCAGCTTTCTTTTTGAGGCAATAAAGTGGAAATTTCATTGCTGGAGGAATGACCTCATTCAGAGCCATCTTAATGACAGCAAGTTAACTCCCACTCATTTGCACAGAACTCTGTGCTACACCCTACACCCTATCAGCTGCACCCTAAGTGCCAATCCATCCACAGCTCATGGAAAGGTACAAGTGAAAAAACAAATGAGAAATTATGCTTTTTCCTGGGTTAGCCATGCTCTTTCTAGGGAGTTCTAGAACAGTTAGAGTGACTGATCCTTAGACCTCCAGATCCCATCATTTCACTCTTTGCATTATTGCACAAATATAACTGATGTAAGAAAAAAAAGTATCCATGAATGAACTGAACTCATGCATACATTATGTTTATGGGAAGTCACTTATTTTCAGCATCTCAAATAGTGGCATATGCACAGGGTGTCCATAAAGTCATGCACCATAGAGAAAAATTATTCATGTCTACAGTTCACAATATTTGTTCAAAATGTACCATTAGTTCAAAACAAGTTGGGATATGATACACCCATACAACCCAGGTTCCTCACCAGGAAAGAGACAAACATGACCCATATTGCCCTATTGGTGCATGATTTTATGGACACCCTGTAAGTTTGAGCCCTCCCCATCAACTGCTGCCTAAGGTGCCTCCTCTCCCCCCCCCTCTTCTGAAAATCCTGAGTATGCTATTGATCCCATTGCATGAAGCCCTGCAAAAGGCAAAACTTTGAGGAAGCCATATGTAGAGCATGGGTACATATCCAGCCCTGATCTTCTCATATTTGGTCTAATGTGTGAGCCTGGCAGCCATCAACACATGTAAAATTGCTATAATTTATGGAACATACATTCCAGGGGACTATGATAGACAGGCAAGATTAGGGTACTTACCACTATGTTCCTCCCATCTGCTGTAATGATGGATACAGTTCCTGAAGAAACAATGTTCAAGGAAACAAACAGCAAAACAGATGAGCATAAATTAAAAAAAAAAGGAGACAAACAATATTCTCATAAGCATCTCAGTTTAAATAAACAATTATACCATAACTGCCAAGCAGAATTTTTATGGATTTTTTCATTCCTCCTTTGTTGCTATAATGTGCAGAGGTTCCAAAGGAGTTTGCCAAGTTTTGGTCCTTAAACTTAAAATTTCAAAGATATGTGGATACTTTGAGAGGGCATCCTTAGTTAAACCTGAAAATATATTTTCAAATCCAAGCAATTTGAAAAAGGTAGTTAGGTTAGGGTCAGGTTAAGGTTAGATAAGATTAGGTTTGCCCATTATTGGCCTTAAACTGATTTTGATGAAATATATCATTATTATCCAAATGTGAAGGGTTTAAAAAAGGTAGGTTAGATTAAGTTAGGTTTAAAACTTTTACCATTTTCAAATGGGACTTCCAATAAATGTGTTCTGCATTGCTGACAATTTGGAAAGAACATCATTTTGGAAGTAATTGGTTAACCTAAGCTGGGAACTGGAAAGGAGCAAAAATGTTTCAATTATGATTCATGATATAAAAGTTAATATGCAAAGATACATTGCAAGATTAAAAAATACAATTCAATTTTATTTTGAGTTTTTCTTTGTATTCTGCATTTCCTTTCCCTCAAACCTGTTGGGAGTATACGTTCTAATGAAAAACTCATACAAAATAAATTGATTGTAACTAACTTTTTCAAACCCTTCAGACTAGATTAGAAGGTATATTTTCTTACTCTGCAAAAGACATCTTATCAAATTATACATGATTCATTGAATTCGGTTTAAGGGCCAAAATAACTATATAATGGGCATCCTCCTTTCTCACATGGCATGCAGAGCTGAACTGCCCTAACAAGAATGGGAAGACAATACATGTTGCAATTGGTAAGGAAATGAAGATTTAAAAGGTGATCTTCAAAGTTGTTTTCCCTTCTCTGACCTGGATAGACATTCACACAAATGGATCTCAAGGCACATTATAACTACTCACTCCCTGATGATATTTCCTTGGTTGGATTATGAATCAAGGGGGAAATGGATTGCTCTTCCAATATTGATTAGGTTCCACTGCAATGTGGGCTTAGAAGGCCAATTCTTGGGGAGGTTAGTCAGACATATGCTTAATCTCAAGTAGCATAACAATATTGGGGGTAACCTAATTCTATGATAAGATTAATATCAGGAGTACTATTGGCTGAATATTTAAAATGATACAGTCAAGGCCCCTGTTCCTCCACTATCAGAACTTTCAGGTCTGGCACAAACCTTGAATTGGCTCTTGTTAACAAAAATGTTAAGCAGCTGAAATTTGCAACTATTCGTGTGGCAAAGACATATGCTACGAGACACATCTCCTATCACATGGATGCATCAACACCAACAATAACTCCTGTAACTGTAGACCATGAATTACATATCTTAGCTTCTTGATGGAAACTGATACTGAACCAGCATTGGATATTGATCCTTATCCAATACTGAATTCTTACTCATTTGAAAAATTTTAGTGGAATGAAATGCATGCAATGAAAAATGGAGCTCCAATGCTTGTGTATGCAATGGTCAGTCCCTTTTCTAGTATAACATTGCATTGCAGCATATGGATGCAATTTTGACCTATATCTCTTTGATGTCAAACATTTAGTCAATGAGCTAATATTTGATCAATATGGTGTGCTACCTGCAATCCAAGATGCAAGAGTACAGAATTACCAAATAATATCATTAATCAGATTCATAACTGGTATAAACAATTGGAAAATCCCCAAGGTAAAACCTGGTTTGTACAATGAACCTTAATAAATAATGAGCAAAAGGACATATTTTCAAAATGACATGTTGGAGAATGACCTAAAAGATGAAGAAGCCTCCAAATGGTGAAACCATAAATAGGGCTTGGCACCATCTTCAATGAATTGTTGGAAACAAACATTCTAATTCCTTCAAATCTAGGGCAACCAATCCTACAAAAAGCAGAGAAATGCTTCCCATTATGCAGCAGACTGAGAGGATCTCTCTCACAATTGAAATGTCAGGCCAAGGGAATCCATATTAAAAGTGATATGAATTCATTTCTAATCACCATCTGCTCATGGTTAGGTCTAAGAGTGCCGTACAAGTTTGATCAAACAGGAATGGGTATATGGTCTCATTTCAATGGACACTGCCAACTTAACTTGAAGGAACAAAGAGAACGGGCCCTAAGCCGTGTTAACAGTAGCTGAAAGCTACTGTTGTCCTTTGAATAAAATGAATTGAAATTCAATGGCTCCCTCCCCCAACACGTGGGGGTAAAGTTAGGCCTGAGCTCCTTCACATCACCTAAACTAGGTCGATATTAAGAGGTTGCGATTAGCCGAGGCCGAACCAGACATATAATTTCTCAACCTTAACGTTAAGGGCTAACTCTATCTAGGCCTATACCTAATTCTATTACGATAATTGTCTGAGAAAAGGATACGGTTTATGAACTGATCGAGCGCGGACGCCATCCTCAGTGCATAAAGGCCCTGTGAGCCCTACTACACCAGGCGGGTACTTACTACCGGGCCTCCGCCAACACTCTCCGCCTCGTGCAAACTCTTGCCGGGAGGGGGTGGAAGAGCTAGGGAGCGGGAGCGCCCCGCCACCGCTTTGCCTCGGTTCGAAGACGAGCGGCGAGGGCCAATGGGAATCGCGTGTTCCATGGCGTTCTCCTGCGTTCGGCGACTGCCTGTTAGTTAGCTAGGTGATCTTTTCGGGATGGCATGTCGCCGAAAGTCGACCAGGACCTTCGTTCCCAGGGCAGGAAATGCTTTTTGTGCTAGGAGGATTAGGGTCAAAACAATCGACTCTGAGGCCTGGAATGTCATGCATGGGATTCCTGGATATATACACTGCATTATGGCAAATTATGCTTTGTCGATTTTTTAAAATGTACATGGGCAAAATATGACAAATATGCTAATTAAAAGGGATAAAAATGATATCGTGAGGCCTGTATAAGTGGACCAAGCACACTTTTATTCTTTCATTTTGGCCCAGATATATAGCGTGGGCGTTCCTGATGTGTTCATATGTAGGCGTTGCTTAATTACCCGACTCCAATTTAGTGTCCACATTACCGGTGGGATCCGTCACGAAATACGAGATGAAACAACTGGAACAAATGTTATAAAATGTAAAACCGCTAAAGGTCAACTCACATTCGTTCATCCACCCCGCCGACTCACAGAGGAAGATTAGATCCACGCATACTTGCAGAAACAAGAAAGACTGTCAGCCGTGTCTCCTGGAGGTCTGAGTTCTTATTTTGCACGTCCAAGTCAGGAGGACGTCTCTTGGAGGTGGGAGGTGTAGGAGAGTAGGTGGCTCCTCCCCCTATTATCCTTCGATGGGCACCTCCGCCTTGGGGCCCACACTAGATATTGTGACGACCAAGGTTTCCATAATTATAGTACCTTCAACAATCACCAAGTCTCATTTACCTATAAATTCCGAGCTAGTAGAATTCTATGCGAGAGGTCCAGTGGCGTATTTAGGCTGAAGAGTCAGGAGAGGCAAGGCAGCAGAACGGGGGCGCCAAACCCCACCCGAGTGATATCAGGAAAAATTATTACCAGGTAATAACTATTATTATTATCAGGGTATAATAAAATTATTACTCGAGAAAATTATTACCTTCAAGGGGGCAGGGGGGGGGGGGGCCATAAAATACGCCACTGGAGAGGCCCGTACCAAAACGCAGTACCCAAGGAAGGCAAAAGCATGCAAGGACCCGGCCACGCGAGGAGACGTCGGGATGCCCCGAGAACGACCGAGAAGCCCGGGTCCTTCTTCCCTTTCCCCGAGATGCTCGTCTTGATTCGAGAACCCCGGGAATGTAATGCCAGGATTACCCTTGCAGAATATATTTTTGATCCTCCTACGGTGGGTAATTTCCGCACACAAATTTTTAAAATTGAATTCTCTCTCCTTACTGTGGTGGAATCGCGAATTACTTAATTTGATTGTCATTGATTCCGTCGGTGAATTCATTTTGAGAAGGCAGATGTCGCTCAAGTTCCATGACGAGTGGCAACGTTCAGAAGGGGCTAGGGAGGTAGAATCGAAAATCTTAATAAGCCTATCACCACTTCTGACTGAAAAAGTAAGGCTTCGAAGCCCTTGCAGCATACTTATTGGTACACCTTTTACTTCGATCTTCAAGGATTTAACAGCGCCCCTTCCCGTTCCACAGCCAACAAGTGCGAATGGACCCAAACTGGCCCACGGGTATCGGCGCAGCGTCGAAGGGACCAGAGGGGGCATGTGCCCCCTCTCCCACTTTTTCCATCCGTGCTACGCTTATGCCCAAGAGACCCTGGATCGAATAATAAACCCGTATCGCATGAGATGGAATCGATGCTTTCCGAAAACGGCCACCAAGCTTGAGAAAAGGCTCACGTCCTCGCCACCCCGGGGAGGTTTGAAGAAGTGCCAAACCGACACCCGACGCTGCGGCGAACTCTCTACATACTGACATTTTCGTCCACAAAAGGCATAATAGAGTATTTTCGCTAGCAGGCAAGCCTTGCTTGAAGAATGAGTGATTCAGAAGGGTAACTTAAATCCTGACCCACCGCGTCCCCCCCCCCCCCCCACCCCCCCCACCCCGAGCAGAGCGCGCGACCGCAACTAATGAGAGAGTAAAAGATGCAGGATGGGCCAAAAAAAATCGGTTATCTTTAACGCTTCACTACGTAGTTTCTCGAGAGTCTGAAAATATTGCAATAGCTTCCCTGTATTCATCGAGTTTTCCACTGCTGTCAAAAGATTTAATATCCATTTCCTCATTCCAATGTAGTTATGCAAAGAAAAAACAGAGGTAGCTCTAATCAGTACCCTGCAAGATGTTTATTCGGGTGACATCCACTCGTTTGCTCGCACATTCGCAATCTTGCCTAGGGGTTGTTAGCATTTCCAGCGCCACCTCTTATTGGCCTACTCTCTCATTGCGTGGAAGTTATGCTACGAATCTTTATTCCGCCGACTTCATCGGAAAGTTGAATGAATGTTCCATACGGAGGCGTTACTGCAATTCTAGCTAACTCTTGGGAACTAGTGCTGTGATAATGATAACGGAAGTTAGATAACGGCCGTTCTCGCACAAGGATCCTCTCGAGCCTCAGCCTCGGCGAGGAACGACATCAAACCGACAGGATTTTGGCCCCTTTAACGGAGGCAATCGAAGCATGATTTCCGCAAAACGAAAAGAGCGGGCTGTGTCGTACGCGGCAGTGTTTCCACACGCGCGTTGACGCGACAGTGTTGCCGACCGACTCACGAGAATCTCAAAACGAAATTACCGAAATTTCCTTCCGCCTCGCATATTTCGTCTGCCATTCGTTCCCTGCACTTCCCTACCATATTAAGCCTGTCGAAGCGGAAAAAAACTCATTTGGAACTTTGGGACCACGCATTACTCTTCCTCCGGCCAATTGAATTGGTAATTGAAAAGCTGGACGAGGACAAAGCAGTGGGCTGCTTTAGCTTCCGGCGATGAAGTTGGTTTTCTTCCTGTTTTCACCACGTTCGTCCATTTTAGTTTTCAGTCGATTCTCATGAATTAAGGGACTCCGGCATGAAAATAAAATTGATTCAATTGTTCTTTCTCCAGTTTTTGCCGGCAAAAAACCGGTGTGACGTTACTTGTGGGAAACCGTGGCCCTTCGAGCAGGGGCGCACCGAGGGGGCTGCGAGCGGCGGCCAATCGGCACAGGACGACGATTGGCCGCCAAATATACTGTAGAACGTATATTGATTCATTTTATTTCAATTAAATATAATTCTGAACTTGACTGAACTAAATATATGAAATGTTTTGATTTATTTTTATATATAAATAAATACATTATTTAGTGTTGGTGCTGGGGTAGATGGATTGATATCCCGCAGCCAAACATCCTCGGCACGGCCCTGCCTTCAAGTACTGCCAGTACCAGAATACTGCTCCGGCTTGAACCCGCACAGTTCGACAGCCGATTCTAAAAATAGCCATAGGCCTAACGAGCCCCGTGGGCGGGGCTCGTTAGGCCGATGGCTCTTTACAAAATTTGTTTAGCAATTAGTACGAATTGAACGCGGAGAAACTTTTCGTGAAATCCGGAAAATTTCTTTGCAGGTTTCGGGCGGGACTCAAACTAGGCTCATTTTCCACGAAAGCCGTGCCAAAGATAAATGCAATATCGAAACTTCAAGTTCGAAATGAGCCTCGAGGATCACCCATCATTTCGACCACCAGCCTCGCTAGCAGTGGACTTACTGCGCATGCGCGGCCTGATCGCACCCGTCTGCGCACGCGCGGTTCGCCAGTTCCCTTCCAATCGTCACCGCTGCTGATTCAGTTGCTGGTGAGTGGAGGGTGTGCGTGACAACTGGGCTCGTGGGATGCCCCATACGCACAGGTCCCGACTCCTGAACATTGATGGGAGGGAGGGGGGTGGGGAAGGGGGGATGGGCATGGAGAGGACTAAGGGTCCATGTTGGAGTTCTAAAGTTGGAGCGCTAAACTTATAGAAATATCATACTTTTCATAACTTTCGTGAAACAGCATTTGTTTCTCCATGTTCCATGTGCCATACTTTTGTTGTACTTTGACCATTCTCTGGGGGGCACGTGCCCCTTTGCCCCCATGGGTTCGGCGCCTATGCCCATACCCAGAGCTGGGGTATGGGGCAGCTGCTGAATTTGTTTTAATTGAACGATTTGTCGACTCGACAATTGACCCTATCATGCACACGGGGCTCTTTTTGGACCCTTGCTGGCCCTGTTTGTCCTCGAATTTTAAAGTTACAGCCCACCAGGATACAAAATTTCAAACTTATAGCCAAGCTCGCGAATTTCTCGTCTGCCTTGGAGCGTTTGCATCAGGAAATTTATAATAGAAAGCTGTTTTTTTCCCTACTTTAAAATTTATTCTGGACATCCACCATTTTTTAGGCTCAAAAATCCGCTGGCTATCTGGCATGCGTCTATCCATCCCCACCTAAAATGAATTTTAAAATAAAAACATGTATTGACAATAATGATAATTAATAACCAAATCAATGATATCACAACATTTATAACAAAGTTGAAAATCCTTCGGTAAACTGAATTTTGGGACACCCTGTATATATAGGGTGATTTAAAAAAAAAGTTTTCTATGGGAGAAAGTAAGATTCGTATATTCGAGCAAAAATAAGATTCATAAACTCAAGCTGTTGAGATGATTGATTTTTTTTTTCAGAACAACTATCTGAGGCATGCATTGTCCCGTTACAAAGTTTACAGGTGGATCATTACACCTCGAGTGCAGTAATGGTCTATGCTCCACCATCTCAAAATCCAACTAAAGTAGTTTACCCAATCTTGG